GGGAAATATGTTTGGGCCTGTTTGATAGCCCTATAAAGGACTGGCTCAAGTGGCTTTATTTTACTTTATGTAATTCTTAACGGTGTCATGGCAAAGTGTTTTTGGAAGGCATTAGCTGAAAACAAATCCATTAATTCCTGATACCTGTAGCCAAGAGTAGTTGGGGAAGCACTGGGCAGACTGAAATGTCAAAGAGGAGAAGCTGGGGCTGGAGAGATGGCTCAGCAGTTAAGAGCACTGACTGCTGTTGCAGAGGGCCCGGGTTTGATTCCCAGCACCCATATGGTGGCTACAAACCATCCTTAACTCCAGTTCTAGGGGAATCCGAAGCCCTCTTCTGACCTTTGTGGCACTGCAGGACACGGGTGCACCCACATACATGCAGGCAATACACTCATACCCATGAAACAAAAATAATAAATAAAATTTAAGAAAAAGAAATGAAGCTAAAGAGTTCGACTCTTTAGGCAAGAAGGGCTAGAATTAGTTCTTGTTTACTCCTTGGAATTGTGAAGATTGTACTGATGTCCTAGACTCTGCGTGCTCACAGAAATAGATCAGGAAAACGTGCTTGAGTCTACAGTAGTGGAAGAAAAAACCTGCCACAACTCACAACCAGTTGGGCTCACTGCGGAATTACCAATGTTTAAAGAAGTAACACAAATACTCCTCAAACTATTTCAAAAAATGGAAAGCAGAGGAATACTTCTAAATTCATTCTGTGAAGCTACTAATGTCCATGATACCAAAAGTATAATTTCCTTGATATACATAAATCCCCAATACAATACTTGCAAAATGAATTAAACAACACAATGAAAGGATCATACAAAATGATCAATTGGTTTCATTTCAGGGATGCAAATATGATTTTAAAATATAACAATAAATGAAATACAGCACATAAATAGAAACAAAGCAAAAAAAATCACATGATCAGCTCAATAAATGCTGAAAATGCCCTCATTAAACTGAAGAATCCATTAATAATAAAAGTTTAAACAAAGAGGGGCTGAAGAGATGGCTCAGAGGTTAAGAACACTGGCTGTTCTTGCAGAAGGCCCAGGTTCGAATCTCAGCATCCACATGGCAGCTAACAACTGTCTATAACTCCAGTCCCAGAAGATCTGACAACCTCCTCTTACCTCCATGGGCACCACATTTAAAAGACTCCAACAGAAGACTCTGGGATTTCACAAACACTCTCAATGAAGTAGCAGAATACAAGTCAGTATGCAAAAATCATGTAGGGCTGGATAGCCTTGAACTCCTGATTCCCCTGCCTTAACCACTCTAAGCACAAAGATTACTCACATGAGTGCCACTGCCAGCTATAGTTTTTCTGTATACCAATAAGAAACATGATATGAAAGAAATATGAAAATGTTTCATTTACAATAGCCTAAAAACATAAAATCTATGAATAAACCTCATTAAGGAGCTAAGGTTCTAGACAGTAAACTATAAAACACTGATTAAGACACCAGACATTGACCACGCTGAACACTGAAGAAATATTGAAGAAGCCATTAGAAAGAAGATAGAATGTCCTCCCATGTTCATGGATTAGCAGAATTAATAGTTTGAAAACAGCCATATTAATGAAAGTGATCTACGGAGTCAATGAAGCTACATTAAAATTTTGATTACAAACTTTACATAATTAGAAAAAAATCTTAAAAATCGTAGGAAAGCACTAAACAGCTTGAACAACCAAAGTAATCTGGAGCCTAAAGAGTAATGCTGGAGATTTACGCTACCAGATTTTAAATGATAGTACAGAACTATAGTGCCAAGAAAAAGCATGGCACTAGCACAAAAATGGGCACAAAGAACAATGGAATAGAAATGAACACACAGAAATAAACTGATGCTTTTATAGCCATCATATGCTTTTCAACAAAGAATTCAAAAACATACTATGGAGAAAAGACAGTCTCTTCACATCCACAGGTAGAAAACTGAAAATAAATCACTCACCCTATACAAAGATCAATTCAAAATAGATCAAACACATTAATGTAAGACCACAAACTCTTAAAAGTTGTAAAGGAAAACACAGAATAAACACTTCAACATAAAAGCACAGGAAACAATTCCAGAAATGGCCTCCAATAGCTCAAGAAATAATAGCAAGAATTGACAAATGAGATTTTAAGAACCTGAAAAACATCGGTATAGTAAAGGAAACCATGGACAATGAAAAGATAGCTTATTGAAGAAAGTCTTTTGACAAACGCATTTCTAGAACATACACAAAAACTAAACACCAAAAGAGGAAGAATTCCACTCAAGAAATAATGCAAATGAACTGAACAAACACTTCTCAAAAGAAGGGCAAATATATGAAAAAGTGTTCAACATCTTTAGACATCAGGGAACTGCAAATCCAAACAACTCTGAATACCATCTGAGGTGGTGGATACCTTCAGTCCCAGAACTTGGGAGGTGGAAGCAGGAGGATCATTTTAAGGTCATTTGCTTCATAGTGAGTTTGAAGCCAGTTTGTGGTACATGAGACCCTACATCAAAAATAAAACAAAAAAACTACAATGACATTTCATCTCATCCTAATTACAATGGTCAGCACCAAGAGGACAAAATTAACAAATGTCGCTGAGGCTCAAGGGAAATTGAATCTTTATACATTAATAATGGAAATGTAAATTAATCTAGCTGCTGTAGAAATTTGTATGGAGGCGTCTCAAAGAAAAAAGAACTATAATATTACCATAAGCTAACTACCATAACAGTCCCACCATTCCATAGAGATATGTATATACCCATGCTTATTGTGGCCCTATTCACAATAGCCAAGCCATGGAATGAATCATCCTAGGCTGCCATCAATGAATGACTGAATAAATAAAGGAAATGCAAGATATTTACAATGGAATATTATGCAGCAGTTAAGAAGAATGAAGCTACGCAATTTGTGGGAATATGGTTAGAATAAGAGCAATACAAGGAAAAAAAGGAATGAAAACAGAACTATTTAGGAAGAGGAAGGTGACCAGAGAATTTGGTGGTTGTGATGACAGGAGGAGTGAATGTGATTAAAGTATATCATATATATAAACACATATATATGAAAATGTCACAATGAAATCCATTATTTTGTTCAACTAATATAGGTGCACCACCACACCAGGCTTAACTCTTTAATTAAAAGGCAGAACTTGGCAGACAGGATAGATATCACACTCCAATTATATGCTTACGACAAGGGATAAACTATAGATTGAAAAATACAATTAAGTTGAAAGTAGTGGGTAAGCTGGATACAGTGGCTCACACCTGTAACCAGAAAATTGAGGCAGAAAGATTACTACAAGTTAAGGCCAGCTTGAAACATAGAGTGAGACTCTGTCTCAAATACCAGCAAAACAAAACTAAACCATTCCAGGACTAGAGATGACTCAGCCGTTAAAGGCATTGCTGTTCAATCTTGAGGACCACAGTTCAGTTTCAGTACTTAAGTAACAAGCTGGGAGTCAGCCAAACACCTACCTCTAAGTCCAGATCCCAGAGATACGATTCCCTCTTCTAACCTCTGAGCATGTACCCACATACTCATGTATTTTCTACCCCCCCTTCTTTGTCACACACACTCATACACATTAATAAAAAAAAGCCTAAAAAAGAAAATATCCCATGCTAATATAAACGGCGAGCTGGAACAGCAGTATCGGATAAAATAAACTATATAAAAAATTAGGACATTATACATTCATAAAATATTGAAACCATCATGGGCATGTTAGAATTATATAATGATCTGAAAGTAAATCCCCAAAATAGATGAGGAAAAAGCTGAAAGAATTTTATGCAAGCAGGACTTGATGGCTCATACCTGTAATTTCGGTACTTGAAAGGCTGAGGCAAGGGGAGTGCCATGAAACAAAGGCTAGCCTGAGGATATAATATGATTCCTGGCCAGCATGGGCTACAAAGTAAGATCCTGTCCCAGAAAAAAAATAGGAGGGGAACTAAATAACTACAACAATAATTATAAAAGCCAACAGCCTCTTCATAAGAAATTCGGAAGAAGATTTTAAAAAGGTGTACTACTAAATTAATGTCAAACATAGTAAGAAAGAGTGGAACTGGTGAATGGACTAAAATATATCAATGCAACAGAGATATTAGGTAGACATATCAATGAAATGGGTATCCCAGAAATTCCCCCAAAGATGGTCAATTGTTAATTCATTTTCACGTGTACATGCCTTTTGTTTGCATGTATTTAAGTGCACCACATGCATGTAATGCCTGCAGAGGTCAGAACAGATTGTTAGACCATTGTTAGCTGCCATGTGGGTGCTGCGAACCAAACCTGGGTCCTTTGCAAGAGTAACACGTGACCTTAACCACTAAGCTGTCTTTCCAGATCCTGGTCAATTAACTTTTGACAAGGGTGCAAAAACAATTCAATGAAAAAGAAAGAGGCTCTTCAACAAATGGTAAAACTATATAGCTATACTTAAATACTTCAGCTTTAACCCATAATTAATCTTTATACAAATATTTATTTTAGAATAATCTTTGGTGCTGAGAGTACAGTTCCGTTGTAGACCATGTGCTTAGCATGCATGAAGCATGGAATCTGAGCTTCTCCCACCCCCAAAATACTAAAATGAATCATAGATACAAGTGAAAAATTTGAAATAGGGGCTGGAGAGATGGCTCAGTGGTTAAGAACACTGAATGTTCTTGCAGAAGACTCGGGTTTGAATCCCAGCACCCACATAGCAGCTAAGAATTGTCTGTAACTACAGTTCCAGGGGATCCGACAGTCTCTTCTGTTCTCCGTGTGCACTGCAGGACACGGGTGCACTTACCTACATGCAGGCAAAACACGCATACACATAAAATAAAAATAATAAAATATTTTTTTTAATTTGAGATATAAAACACCTAGATGAAAATATTATTACAGTTCTTAAATCACATCAAAACCATAATTTATAATATAAAAAGTTGATAAAATGAACTTCATTAAAAATTGAAAACTTTGCTTTGAAAAAGACTGCTAAAAGCATGAAAAGACAAGCCATAGGCAGAAGAACATATTTCCAAATAACATAATTTGCGACAATAGAAAAAGGAACAAACCAATAAAAATGGGAACCAAAGACAGAAGAAATTTTGATGGAAAATATACTCAATGCACTGTGTTCTCAAGGACCTACAAACCCAGACTATGATGGCTGACATCACAAACGTCCAACCACTGGACCTCTGTATTTGTGGGAGAATGCATAAAACATTTGAAAAAGTATTTTGGTGCTCATTTCTACTCTTAGCTACTTATTGTACAGAAATAAACATTTGTATCACAAAAAAACTTATACCGTAAGAGCATATAGAAAACTTGTTTGTATCTTAAGTAGAAATAACACACATATTCAACGATTAGTGAATGAAACATAATTTGTATTCCCTCCACACAACAAATACTACTCAGAAATACAAAGGAATAATCTTATGATGCATGTAAGTAAGTGCATTTTAAATACATTTAGGAAGTGAAAGAAGCCAGTATAAAAAGTTTACATATGCATGATTCCATTTATTTGACATTTTGGAAGTCAAAACCTTAGCCAATTACTCCTTAGTTATTTTCGGGAGTTGGGGTAAAAAAGGGATTGAATATAAAAGACCAACTGGCACAGACTTAAGAGGCTGAGGCAGGAGGGATGTCAAGTTCAAAGTCAGATAGGGAAACATGGACCCTCATGAGAAAACAAAACAAAACAAAACAAAAAACAACAAAAAAACCCACCACCACCCCAACAACAACAGAGCTATTAAGAATAATTATAAAGTCATAAAACAGTTCTGCATGAATTGAATACACATGACATATATTTTTCAAAATCCGTAGAACACATCAGAGTTACTCTAACTGTATGTAAATTCAAAATAATTTTAAAACAACAAGGACACATTTCTACCTATCAAGTAGATCTGCACAGAAAAGGGTCATATTTTAATTATTTAAAGAACTATTCACATTTATTCACTACTGGTAGGAATATAACTTTGCAACTATGTTGAGAATAAATCAACAGCACTATTATGATGCCCTGAGAGTCCTTCAAACAAAATAATTTCAACATGTAGGAGCTTAATCTCAAGAAAGAAATACAAAGATTAATGTACAATGTTCATTACATTACATTTTATAAAAAAAGGACAACGTAAAAGTGTACAGTATTATTATATTATCCAAATAAATTTTGTGAAGTCCATGTTCTATGTAGTGTTATCAAAGAACATTATATGGAGTACACTTTTTAATTTTTAAATGAAAAATCAACAGAGAATAAAATGATATATAAATGAGATGTCAATTTTGTTATAAAATAATATTATGTACATTACTAAAGGGGCGATGTACTCAGATGTTACAAGCTATTACTTCCTGGCTTAGAAAATACATGTTCTTTACTATTTAAAAGTTGATGTTATTTTTATAAAGGAAAAAAATCTCTTATTAAAAAAATGCCCAGTCAAATTGAGCCAAATTTGTAACTTTTTTCACTTGTCTTCAATCAATAGGGCACACTGTTGTTCACTGGGGGCTAGCTGTCTTGCTCCTTCAGGTACTGGACCCAATGGTGATCAACACCTGCCAAATTGAGAGGGTGGCAACATCACTCCAAGAACATGAACTCTTTAAGTTCTTGTGCCAGGTAAGTACATAGTGGAAACAACCATTACAATCCACTATGTGAAATTGGGAGTATGCTTCTAAGCTCTTCCATGAAAGAATATTTTATAATCCTTCTCCAGAGCAGTTCTTTCTTGTAATGTGTATCTACCATCATGCCCTTGTGAACGACAAGTATAGATTCAAAAATTGACATTCCATAGCTACAGTAGATCTGGGGATGCCTAGATCCACTCCATCCACTCTATGTGTGCTATTTCCTTTCCTTGAGACTTTTGACACCTATCAGTGAATCAGAATTCTAACTTATGAACATTATTCTGGGGTTTGCCAAGTGGGTAAACAGAAATCTCTACTCACAAAGGAGGTACCTCTTACAAGTGGTAACACTTTGAAAAGTTATAGGCTTATAAAAACTCAGGGTGTGTTCCTTAAGGGGAAAAATGGATATTATAAACTCTCCAGTTTTTCCTTTTATTCCAAAAGGGAACAAGCAATTAACTCTTAAGCTCACTCATGAAAATCACCATCATCCTCGAAAGCTTCCAGGTCAAATATCCATTGAAAATGTCAAGCCTTTGTTACTTGGCTATGGCATTTCATAGTCTCCATCTCCATCTGCTTTGCCTGCCACTCCTCAAATTATATCCACACAGGTGCCTGAGCAGGAAAGGAAGCAAGATCTGCTGAAATACATCAAGGTGGGGAAAAAGAGATAGAAGAAGTTATGGAGAGGCAAAAGTCTTTTAGGACTTCAGAGAATAACGAGGCAAGACTACAGATAAGTCATAAAGTATGACACAGTCACGAGACTTTCTACATCTATGCTCTATCTCATCCATCTCCAAAATAGACAAATGTTAACCGGGATTCCTGATACTTACTACTGATCCATAAAACTTTGCACTACAATCTTTGCCCCAAGAGAAATCATAATATCCAATGACCAAGCCACAAGAGGGGAATTGTTCTGGCATAAGGAGTGAATTCTGGTTGTGAGTTGTTGATCTTGGGTATAACTTCTGTAGTCAGCAACATGACATTAGATGGGCAGTATTAGACTAATCAATATGAGCATTCTGCAGTGTAGTAGTAACTGTGATCAATTCACCTTTCATTCCTGAAATGTCTTCTGCATAGGGATTATATAATAAGAATTATAAGAAGAATCTGCAGTTACATTCAGATCAGTTGGCTGCCCTCCTCCCATGAAGAGGGTGTTTTGGCTCTGAAATACAAATACAACTCTGGTGACCAGTATTCTAGCACTGGGGTCTCAGGAATTTTTGACTGTTGGAGGTGTAAAAAATGAAGTAGTCTACCATACTGCAGGGATTTGTGCACGTGTTGTATGTGTAACTAGAGGAACACTATGGAAAGCAATGTTTCATACACTTGTAATCATGAGAAAGAAGAGGGGTTAAGCATGTAACTGAAAACAGTCACTGGAGAATATCTAAAGAGGCTGGTCCTGTTTAAAGTATTATTTTGTGAAACTGAGGTCAGAAGCTGTGGTTATCCTTGCTGCTGCTGCTGCTTTCTTTTTCTCTCCCTCATAGGAAGTCTTCTAACTTATCCCTGAAGAGTAACTACAAAGCAGCCCCACCTCTACAGAGAGGGATAGGATGTGTAAAGGCCCAGGGGTACCAACACAGGAATTATTAAACCTTTGTTGAAATATTAGCACATTTGAAGAATGTAACACAAGTCACTGGATCCGATCCTGAGCAAATTGTATTCAAAAGAAAAATCTGAGCCAAGTGTGGCAGGCAGTATGTATCTACACTGCAAGCACTCTAGGCAGAGGCAAGACAGGGAGTATGAGGACAAAATGGGCCTCACAGAGAGACTATGGGAAGAAAGAGTGAGAGAGAGAAAGAGAGAATTTGGGGGGGGGGTGTCTGCTTACGATGTCAGATAGCTCATGACTTTCTTCTTGTATGCTTTGCCTTTCAAGTCCTTGGTGCCATCTTTCTGCATAGGTTCTGGTCTTCCCCAACAGCAAAGGGAAATTCTGCAATATAAGCCAGTAAAATGGATGTATTCTGACCATAGAATGGCTTTTCCTAGGAGATGTTAAGCAACTATTGTTATCTTTCTTTTGTCTATACTTTATCTAAAAGCTGAATTAGAAAACGTTACTTAGACCTTGTTCTGATTATGGAATATATATATATATATATATATATGTACCATATAACCTCCATTCTCATACCAGGGATTAAAATGAACAAGTCTTGTATATGTTATGCCTTGATCTATGTCCCCAGTACTCAAAATTCATTTTGTGCCAGGTATAGTGGCCCATGCCCATCATTCTAACAATTAGGAGAGAGAAACAGGACTTCTACAAGTTTGAGGCCAGCCTAGTCTACATAGGAAGTTTCCAGACATCCAGGGCTACATGTACAGCACTTGTCTCGAAACAAAAAACCTAAACCTGCATCTTGCTCATATCAGTGCTTTTTAGACAGAGTCAATTACTCATCTCACATCCTTCCATAGTCACTCAAACCATTTCTATACAACTCCTCCTGTTGGCTGCCCTCTCCACAATCAAGGCAACCTAATGATACATCTGAAGAAGGCACAAAATCAGTTTCCTTTTTCCTTCATTACAAGATTGTTTTTAATTTGTTTCTCACTATTATGTGCCACAAAGTCTGACAACCACTCACTCTTACCTTTGGGTCTGGATAGTCCTTAGAAATTCCTGTTCATAATCCACCACCTGGGGTTCCAGTTTTCACACTTGCCCAGTTTTCTGATTTAGATCTCTCCATATGCCAGCGAAGTATTTCCTTTCATCTAGAGCTAAGATTCTACCCATGTTCCATCAAAACATAGGTTTTACCCTCAGTGATGGATTGAGAGGGAAATGTCCCCTATAAGCTCATGATCTGGTCCCCAGTTAGTGGCACTATTTGGAAAGGTTATGGAACTGTAGGTGTTGGAAACTTGCTGGAGGAAGTATGCCAGTTGGGGTTGGTTTTGCCCTCTTGTAGCCTGGCCCCACTTCCTGTTCTCTCTGCTTCTTTTGTATGGACAAAAGTGGGATAAGCCAGCTTCCTGCTTCAGCCACCATGCCTTTCCTGCTGCTGCCTTGTCTTCCCTCTTATGATGGATTCTATAACTCAGGATCTGTAAGCTAAAATAATGCTTTTTTAAAAGTTGCTTTTGGTCATGGTATCTTATCAACAAAAATGTAACTAATAGACCCATCACCCAAGACCTTGTTCCATATACTATCATCTCTTTCCTATATCTATAATGTCTCTCTTCTCAGTTCCTCTGGCTCCAGGGTCTGCAAACACTCAGTTTCCTCCCATATTAAAAGACTGATTATTGCAGGGGTGGTACATGCTTTCATCCTAGCACTCAAGAGGCAGACACAGGTAAGACTGCTGTTGGATCAAGGCCAGCCTGGCATAGACTAGAAAGTGAGTTTAAGGCCAGCTGGAGCTCAACGTACCCTCGCCCCGCCCCCCCCCCCAAAAAACCCTAGAAAGGGTAATTGTATGACTCATTACAAGTCTCTCTAGGGTTTGGTTAATCTTTATTATGGTTGTCATGTCTGCAAACAGAAAGTCTCCTCTTGGGACAATACTGATT